TCTATAAATGATTTATTTATAAATGATATAAATTATTCCACTAGCATTTAGGAAATGAGAAACAAATTCGCACGGAAAACTAACGAAAGCCATTTTTGAAAACGTGAAAACATCCATTTTTGGCTCTGCTGCCCTTTACTTTACTAAAATAGCTGTAAAAATCTTTTTAGAAGAGAGATATCTCAAGACGGTTTTTGTACCCATCGATCTGTATTGGATTCATCTTTAGCATGAGCTATAAAACGTATAAAAGATATCAAGGGTGAGAGAATTTGAACCGAGAAAGATTAGAAGAAAAGATCACCAGAAAGGCGAGAGTTCCAATATTATTAGAGATTAATGTTTTCCAAAAATGAACATGTTGCGGGCTGTGCATTGGCAGATGAATGGGTGGTGATGGCCAACAAACAGATGCCAAATTTGTTTTCCGCTGGGGCTTGTCTCAGTCTTAAAGCGAAAAGTAAAATCTATTAGCCTTTAACCCCTTTTTTGGTCCCTGGCTCTCGTTCTTCCCAAATCCAAGCGTTCTAATTAAATCTCGCGCTCTAGGGCAATATCCGTCAATGCCAATGGCTTCATGGTAGTAAAAAGGCATCCTCAGACAAGAATGTGTTATTTGTTCGAAAACCATCAACAATGCGCCAACAACAAAGTTCGGGGATGCCTTAAAATTATTTTACTGAAAAGTCATGTATTAAAGGTAGTGATTATTCCAAAGGTAGTGATTATTCATAATAATTGAAAGATATAAATCCAGTGTTATAGATGCGATCCAATATTACAAAGCCTGACACTAATCAAAGCATTTTCAGTACTGAAAGCATTTTCAGTACTGAAAGCATTTTTAGTACTAAAAGCATTTTCAGGCCTGAAAGCGTTTTCTGGACTGAAAGCGTTTTCAGTCCTGAAAACCGTTACAGTAATCAATGCTTTTCAGTGCTTTTCAGTGCTTGTCGCAATGTTTTCTAGTAAATCAAAGCATAACTAATACAGTAATTTCGGCAATGAAGATGCCTAGTCAACTAAATCAAAACTAAAAATTATCAAAAAATCATAGCGACATGTTTTCGTTGAGTCTTTGAACTTGAATATAAAAAGAAGAAGAAAATGAACAAGGTCACCCGTGCGGCGCAAATTTTTGTAGTCAAATTCATCTTTCTCTGAGAAAGAAATATTTGCCTTTTCGATTACGATTACGTTTTAATTTTATGGCAAAGTTTAATGGTGGTGGCCCATTAAAAATCTTGGGGTAGACCTTGCGCAACTGGGTCATTTGTATAACTGGGTGATTTGTGTAACTGGGCCATCTGCGTAACTGGGTCGCTTGCGCAAGCTCAACACTCAAATCCTCCATTAGATCTTGATGTGACAAACTGTAGATGTTCAGTCTAGATCAGAGTATTCAGTCTAAACTGTCTGGATTAGGGTATTCAATCTAGAATAGGTCCAAAATTCAATCCAAAATTGCTAGATTACGGTATTTAGCTTAGATTAGGGTATTCAGTCTAGATTAGGGTATTCAGTCTGGATTAGAGTAAATGTAGATGTAGATGGAAGCAATTGAACAAACCTATAGGAAACTGTAGATGTAGGATAGAAGCAATAGAAAACAGCAATAGAAGATGTAGAGTAGAAGCAATCGAAAAAGCAATTGAACAAACTGTAGATGTAGAATAGAAGCAGTTGCTCTATAAATCCGTAAATCGACGGCTTGATGAATCGGTGAAGTATTCGGACATCCTCCATATCCACACTCGTAAGGCTTCTAAATTGCGGCACTTTGTTAAAATCTTCTTTTTATTAGCTCACCGCATTTGAATGGGTTAGTTTCGTGTGTTTGCGTTCACTTCTATGATCACTCACGCCTGAAACAATGGATTTTCCTGTATTGAAGTGTATTGTATACCTCTCCACATTCGGTACACTTGAATGGCTTTTCGCCGGTCTGAAATCGTTCGTGGATTTTGAGATACTAGAGGCGATTATATGTGGCCGAACATCCAATAACTTCACATTCTCTTCAGTGTGCTGTCTTACGTGAGTTACCAACAGGTAGTTAGCTTTCCAAGTTCTTTCAGGAAATTCTTTTTCCTCATCTTTATTTCTTTATCTTTTACTCCTTTTTGTTTGACCTTCTTTTTCCGGCTCCTTCCGGCAAAAAGAAGAGCTTTGTGGAATCTCTCAAAAGTAATTTTGTAAAGAAATGGTCGACCATTTTGATGAAACAAAACGCGTATTTAAAGAAGGTTTTATGGGTGCAAAAAGTTTCTTTAAATTTCGGCGCCGACTCATTCTCCCCAAACCAAGTAATCAAAAGGGGATGCGCTAAAAGTTCCCAAACAGCTATTTATTTTAGAGCCAGTCAGTTTTGCAACATGAGGGCGCGCGTTGTCGTGGATGAGAACGATAAGATTTTCTTATATTTTAACCCTTAAAGCTCTTAAAGGCTTGAAATAAGCTTGGAAGCTTTATCACTGTCACACAATAATTGGCAGCCTCTCAAAACCCTTCAAATAGCCTCTCAAAACTTATCATCATATACAACTAATAGCCTACAACTCTATAAATGAGCAGTTTATATTTCAATTTTTTAGTTCGACAATTTTGAATGGATCAAACGGCCCTTATCGAGCAATAGAACGCACGGAAAGTCGGATCTTCGACGTGTTCAACAATACTGTGAATTCTGCCGAGGATTTTGTGAGATGACTTTGGCAGTTTTAACTAGAAAGCTCAAGTTGACATTCTCGTTCTAGGTCTTATTTATTTCTAAGTTTTTTTTGCTACCTCGGATCCCTAGTTTTGACCCTAGACTCCAGGTTCTATGAAATGCAGTTCATAACCAGTTCATGAGTGAAGTTAAAGAAAAATTGAAACGTGATTTCGTCATAATCTCCACAATTTTACAAGCAATTGAAATTCAGTGCTCGGCATTTAGGAGCACTAAATTTGAGTTTTCATTATTTTTTGTGTAACACAACATAACTTAGAATAAATGTTTTGACTCCGCCTATGTAATTAAAATTAGCTTAAAAATCAGATTTAAAACCAGAATGACAATCAACAAACTTTTGCATTTGTAGCTTGAAAGGCTGTCAAGCTTTGATGAAATTAGCTTCCCAACAGATTTTATAAGTTTCTTCTAATTTTAAAATCCATTTATTTCTGTTCTAAAAAGGGAGCTCGTTCCTCACCCTAAAGTTCGATTTAAGCCAATGATGCTAAAATAGACTCTGTGGTATCCAACGGTCTGAAACAGATTTAACTTGTAAGCAAACATAACTCTTCTCTTTCTGCTCTCAAAAAAACAATTGTCTCCCGATTGAATATAATCTTTTGTGAAAATCCGACGTCTTCACCAAATCATAATCAATGCCATTAGGAGATTTAGAAGCGATACTCAACTTTGGCGACTCTGATGGTTTAGTTTCCTTCTGAAAATTAAAATATCAAAAAAGAAAATTTGCGCTCCGGTGATTTAATCAGTGTAGAGATTGAATCTAGTCAAAGGCAAAACAATAACTCAAAGTCCTCAAAAGCTTGAATCTGTTTGATTTTTACTTGGATTCTTGGGCAAATATTTCAAATATTTTTATATCAAATTTGGACTAAATCTAATCTCTACACTATGCTATTTAAGTTAAATCAAATCCAAATCATGGTTTTTGGAACATATATGGAATGCTGACAATAAACATGAGCTGCTGTTTTTCTTACTGGTTCTTTTTTTGCTTCGACTTTATTTTTGACTTGACTGAGCGATTTTTTAGCAAACGATGGTTTTTTTAGCAAACGATGGTTTTTTAGCAAATGATGGTTTTTGTTTCTTGATTGAGCCATTCACAAAGTTTCCGAGTGACTGGAGTCGCTTTTGCTGAAAATAAAAAAGATATTATGCAAGTGTTAATTAACTGTAGCCAAGGCTGGACGAGTCGCTCATTATTCCCACTTGGTACCAAGTCGGGCCATATTTTGCAACAAGCGGGCCTCCGGAATCTCCCTAAAAGCAATATTTAATGCTTAAAGGACATTTGCCTTGGTAGTGGCCTTTCCGCGACCACAGAAGGTGTCTTGCTCATCAAGACAGTCAGCGCGTAAAACGGCCTCTTGTACTTTGGCTTTTTCTCCTGAATAAAATAAGGTCAAGGCGCTAAAAAGGTTTCAGGTTTAATCATTAACATCTCAAATCTCCTTTCTCCTCTATATTGCTAACAGCTTTTGATTTTTACCGTCTCCCATTCCAAAAGCAATCATCGGTTCTTTCAGTGTCAAGCCTCTAGCTTCGAGACATACTCGCCTTCCGAAATCATCACTGGTGTCAATATCCGTTTCCAGCTAAATAACATATATTAGTGGGGCTGCTTTTAACATTGAACAGTAAGCCCACCTCTAAAAGAGCGACGTCACCATGTTCCCAAACGCGAGCCGTTTGACTTTGAGCTTGTATCTGAATACTCGTTTACTGGCTGCTAACTTGTCATACCTCGACTTTATTGCCTTGCCTGAACCTGTAACTCAAATAGTAGTACCACCGGACGTTTTTTCGGACGCAGCTTGCCGCCGTCATAACCCATTTTGGAGCAATGTAGGATCCGCCGCAATTGGTCTTCAGATTAGTTGTCCTCAAATTTTTTAGGTTTTCCCTTGTTAAAGTCTACTTGATTTTTCAATATTCAAGCAATATTCACTTTTTATTTATTGTTAAAAATCTGAATGAACAAACATCAACAGAGGGTAGACTTAGCAAAAAGCTTACTCATCCACGTGTTCCACACGAACAAAATAGGGGTAGCTGGAATCTCTAGAATCTACTCCTTGATGGATCTTGAGCTTTCTTGAGCCGAAGTTCTAAAGTCGAAAGGATTGTTTGATGATGCTTCAAAAACTCAATGCTCAAAAATGCATTTATCCACGTTGAATATTTTTACTTGAGTAAGTGACCTACCCACGAAATTGGGTCCACACTCGTTTTGCCGCAATCAAACTCTGGAAAACCATTTTATCTAACTACCTTTTATTACCCCTTTTCGGTCCCTGGCTTTCGTTTTTGCTAATTCCAAGTGTTTGCATTAAATCTCGAGCTCTAGGGCAAAATCCGTCAATGCCGTTGGCTTCATGGTAGTAAAAAACATTTTCAAATAAAACTGTGTTATTCGGTCGAGAATCGTCAACAATGCCGGTGGTTGCAAAGTTCCCAAGCTGCCTTAAAATCTTGTTGCTTAAGAGCCTTCAAATTCAATTGTTTTTTGGCTCTATCCAAACAGAAACTCTCACCCGTTTTTGGCAAAAAGAGCAAAACCTTTCGGTAGCCCGGAGATTCCGTTATGATTTTTTTCAAATCTCCAAAAAGCCATGGGAGCTCATCAGAATGCGATGCGTCTAAAATTATTTTAATTAATTGTCGCGCCTCTCACATTTTCGACTATTTTAAAAAATGACGCTTTTAAAAACTTAAAAACAAACGCCGATTCTCATCCCAAGATCGGGCCGCCAAAGTCGCGTTATAGGTGTAAACAAACAACGAAGGAGGCACCCTAGCATTCCTTAGCTTTTCGACTTCGCTGACTATGGGAACATGAAAGACAAGGTCGGTCATTGACTAAACTTGAAAAACATAAGCCAAATGAGTCAGTGAGTTACGTTGACCACGACTTCAAACCAAAACCATTGCTCGGCTGTAATCACTGTCTCACTGGTTATTGTTCGCGTCGAATACAGTTTTGGATCGTACTTTTGAGTGTAAAAGTTCTCCAAAGTATCAAGCCGGTCGTCGGAAATCCCCATGTAGGCAGTGATAGTTTTGCGAAATCTAGCGCTAGAGTAATCCGTCCTGCCCATGTATTTCGCAAAAAGATTTTCTAAATGATTTTGAAAAAGTTTTCCAGAAGCGACAGACCAAAAAATGCCCACTCGCCAGTGGTAAGGCCGATGAGAAATTCATGTCCACGGCTTGATCTATCCATGGATTCGTGACCAGATTTGGGAAAGTAGTACCCATCAGCAAACAAAACCCAATTTTTCTCCTGTTTCTGAAAGCAAAAAGCAAAACCTTTTTTGCTGGGGCAAATAAAATTTGGGTGAAGAAAGGTACTAATGAGCATACAAAGCCCACCAGATCAATTTGTTCCAGCGCTTCTAGCGGGGCTTTTGTAAGGCATTTGTAGAGAAGCTCCTCAAATTCCTTGTCGTAGGGGTCATACAGGTTGGCGTTGCAAAGCTGAATGTGAGTTTTTACATAAAAAACAAAAGATACTTCTTTAGCAGCAATAGCACTTGGAGACGCCGGACTTCCAGTCCCGTTAAAACAAATTTCCAAGACACCTGACATTAGTATTACTCGCTTGAAAAGTCCTAAAGTTCCTTAATTATTTCGGAAAAATCAATGCGCCTTGATCGACGGCAGTCGAGATGGCCAGCGCATGAGCAGAGCATGCCCCAGCAGAATGTCCAATCAATGTTATTTGACTTGGATCCCCTCCAAACCTAAATTTTTCGATAGGGTGACAGTTGATTGATTTTAAGGTCACTCATGAATATTTTTTGAGATGAATTTAATTGCCAAATGCGTGTCATCGAGTCCAAGATTTGGGTGAAACTTAGAGGACGGGAAATGTGGGTAGAAGAAACCTAAACTTGCATTTTCGCACATAAAAGTATTTTTACCCAGGACTGACAGCCGATACTGCACCGTGACCACTATAACATTGTCATGGCTAGATAAATTGCCCAAATTTTCGACGGTAAACTCGTTTCCACTTCCAAATTTATAGGCACCCCCGTGGATATAGACAATAACGGGAAGTAACGAAGAGGCGGAAGGCGGCTAAATTTCTTATGTTAATTTTATGTTCAAACAGACATTGGTCGGTCCAAAAACGTTCAAAAAAAAGGCAATCCTCGCTGGTTTCAAGGCCGGGAAAAACTGTATCAAGAAACTTTTAGCTAGCCAAGCCTAAAAACCAACATTTTGCTTGAGGGCACGCTTTTGCAGGTTTGTCCATGCTGTTTCCAGGCTCATCTTTCCAATCATTTGCCAAACTAGCTCGCTAAAAATATCTTAAAAAAGCCGAGGCATCTCTTCCTATAACCTGAAATCTTTCTGGTTGATCGGCGTAGCGGACCCCGAGCCAAGCAGAAATCCCGTCTTTTAAAAGACGCCCTTGGGGCAAGCCGGTAGCCATAACTTTCAGTAGCAAAGCGCAGAAAAGAAGACGCATCTAGTCTAAATCTCCTTATGAGAATTCTGTTTGCAATTAAGAAAAAACGAAAAGATGTAGTTTGTCAAATCATGTGAACTTCTTACGAAATCAGGAGAGAAATGAGAGGAATGTTTTGAAAATAATGTTTTGAAGTGGGAGGGGCTTTCTACCCGCATTGATTCTTGAGGCATTAATTCTTTCTGTGCTTGTGGCCGCCGTAAAAAGGACCATTTTAGACTAATGTATTCTATTTTAGGTTCTTTAAAAATTTTAGAAAAATAGATTTTTTTGAAAAATAAATTTAATTGAGCAAGTTGAACTTCCGAGCCGATTCAGTTATTGCAAAACTTTCTAATAATGAATTATTTCGAGCTCCAAGTTTAAAAATAATCGAATACGGCAACAAACAATTTCGAAATTCGAAGCATTTGAAATCTTTAAAGAATCATTAAACCTGTAGCCGGAAATTTTGTTTCATAACATTATTTAAATTTATTTAAAATTTCTAGTACATTATTTACCATTACATTATTTACAATTTTTCTTGGGACAGATGGATATTACACAGTTTTTCAAGATCATTGGCTCAAAATCAAACTGAAAGACAGCGTCTTAGAACAGAATCAGAATTGTTCAGAAATAGAACAGAAATTTTTAGAACAGAATGGAAGATGGTCGAGAATTCATGCTGGTTTAATGCAGATGCTCAAAATAACTCCTAAAACAGACTACCGTATTAATTTTTTTTTGAAAAACTTTGAAGAGGCGTTATCGCTCTCTTTGGATTAGATCTAAAGAAAAAGAGTCGTCTTGAATTAATGTCGTGGCATCATCGTTTCCCTAAACATGCTCATAAACGTTCCCAATCAGTGTTAATGGGATCATAAAAAAAACGAAAAAGACTAGTTTTTAGATTTGTTTCAACCTGTAGCCGAAATCTCAGGATTTCATTTCAGCTGATTATTTACAACTTTTAGTTTTATTTTACACAGATGGATACTACACTTTTGATTTATTTCGATTATTTTGAGCTTCCCTGCCTCAAAATCGGCAAAAATCTGGAGGACCTAGTGAAGTTTGCTAAGGAGCATCAAGGATGGACTCTTCAGAAATGCAAAGCTCGTTTATTGAGTGATGAAATCAGGTTTTCCTACTTTGTTAATGGAATTGAGTATACGGGACGTCGCGAAAAAACCAAAGTGACAATAAAAATATGGCGGTGGAGACATTCTCGGGTAGCTTTTCTTGATGGAACTCTACCGCTCAAGCGAATCACATTCGCAGCTTCCAAAATTATCCAATAAGCCATCGTTAAATCTGCAAATTTCTGATCTAAGCCTTTTCAGTGTACACTCTTCCGAGTGTTTGCCAGAAATGCTCAAAAGGATACAGGTCGGAAAGTTGGCTTAACTGCTCCATAACGGCAAACTTTTGTGGCGACACTCCAGAAAGGCTTGATGTTTTCTTGAAAAGTTTAAATTTGGTTGATATTTTTTGTTTCTGGTTCCACGCAATGACACTTGCGAACTCCCAAACGCTGTAGCATCACACAGAAACCAAACACCTACTACGGTAAGGCATACACGAATTGCTTGTCAAGGGCAGAAGTCGTCAATGATAATGGAAGATAAAGACTCTATTCAACGGTCCAAGATAAAGATCTTTTATTTTTTTATAGATCTTTTATAGCAACATCGCAAGCTTGAAGAGCTTTTTGACAAACGGCACAGGAAACAACGGTCAAGCAATAAATTTGATTTCGGGCAATTTTGGAGCTCGGAGGGCTAGTTAGTCATCAGTTCGGAACTTGAATAAAAGTCAGCCCCAACTCGCAATCGGGCGCTTATGGAGGCGGAAATCTAGGAAAAGAAGAAAAGAAAGGTGTAAAATGGCAAAGAATAAATTAAAATGAAATGAAAAGGATGCTAAAAATGATAAAAAGAGCGTGTCATCTCAAAAGTATTAATTTTTAGAACGACGTCGCGGCTTGCTGTTCAACAAACGGCAATGGGAATGGTGGTTTCTGCGTGAATGGAGCAGCCTTCTGTAACTGAAAGACGAGAATATATCTTGATTGTTATGGGCAATGTTTGTGTCTTCATTTTAAAGAATTTTTTACTGAAATGAAATTACAAATGAAATTCCGCTAAAAAACATGTAAAAAAACATTTTGAAATATCTAAATGCAGAGCAATCTGCACTCGGACAAGGAAAATGGCCCGTCGATGTCAGAAGCCGGTGGCAACTCGCCGAACCTTGCCGCCAGTCAGCCCCGATATCTTGTGGGATCCATTAGACTTTAGGTATCTAAAGATAGTATTCAATTGTTTTTTGAAGATTTTTGTAAGGCGAAGCATGCAAAGGATCACCGAAGACAATCTAGTTTTAAATTCAATTCACTCAGAATTGAATTTAAATGTTGAATGTTCGACTGGGTTTTACGGTTAAAGGCCTATTATAATAAAGAATCGTTCAACTAATACCTTAGTTCATTATGTTTACCTTGCCAATATCAAACGCATTCTTCTCCTTAAGTCTTTTAGTCTCCTGGAAAACAAATGAGCTTTTCAGCAGTTGACAAAACTTAACGCAAAAACGGAAACTAAGAAAATACATTCACTACTCTTATTACTTGGCATCAAAAACTGCAAATAGCAAGTGACAACGGAAAAGCCTATTACTTCTAAAACAATCAGATAATTGTTTGTTTTAGGCTCTGTTAGGTTATGGAGATTTAGACGTTCTGATCTTGTAAAAGCAGAACAAATTTGTCGAGAATGTAACCTATTTGTTTTTAGTAACGAGAAATCCAAAAGGATTGCCCAATTTGGGTCAGGAAAAAACGCGTTGACTATAAAAACCCTGTACAGTGCCGGTTAACCCAATCGGTTTACAGGAAATGTTCAGTTAAAAGCCTTTTCAGCTGTTAAAGCTCTTTGTCGTTGAAAGTTAAAAGTTGTTGGAAGCCAGCCAGAGCGCTGCGTAGGGCTGAGATCCTCAGAAATTCAATTGAGCGCGCACCGGCTGCCTGATCCCGATCGACCGAAATTGCATTTCAAAGTGTTCCAAAATATTTCTCGAACTCCGATCCTAGGCATGTTTTCAAAACAAATTTTTTTGACTGGGGATCTTCTTTCTGATTCGGCGTCTTTTTTCTTCATTGAGAGACCCGTCTCTTTGGCGCGATAGCGAGCACGTGGCTACTCCAATTAAACCATCACTTGGCCATCAGCGAAGATTTTGCCTCACGGAATGCTCATTTTAACTGAAATTCTAAGGGAAATCGCTGATGTCCTGAAACCGTAGACAGAAAGTAAAGAAAGAAAAGAAAGTAAACAACAGGTCGAACCTTCTCATACCTAAATAAGAAAGATTATTAATCGTTTGACGTAAGGTTATGTTTAATTTGTTTCTAGGATTTTTCTTTTATTGCAAATTTGAACCGTCTACCTTTCTTCGAGTGTGATAAAATCGGGTTTTTAATAGCAAGCTTTCGTCCAAATCAATATAACTAACTTTTAAGCTTTTGAGTGGAAACATAAAGTCTGAATCTTAAGTAAGCGCAGGGTTATTCAGCTCAGTTTGTGTGGTAGAAGTAGTACAATATATAAATACTTGAGATATCTTGAGTGTTCAGAAGCTGAGTAATTAAAGCAAAACAAATGTTTCAAGTTTAATTCACAAAAAAATTCACTTTATATAAAGGATGATCCATGATGATCATGTCATCGTCGTAGAATCCGAACCAGAAACAAAATCGCATTCAAGTCGCTTCAACGGACAAATATTGAACATCAATTTCAGAATCTATGTGTATAAATAAGCCTAGATTTATAAACAAAAATATCAAAATCAAGTCTATAAATAAGTCTAGATTTATAGACATAAATTTCAGAAGGTGTTTATAGACATAAACAAAGGTGATTAAATGCAAATCTTATAGTATTATAATAGACTTGTATGCCATAAAGTGTTTGTTCACCAGAGTTCCGCAAATGGAGTTCTTTTAAACTCATCGAGTCTTTTATCGCCCAATTGAATATGGTAATTTTATTGAAACAATTAGAGTTTACAAAGAATTCCACGCAATTCACCAAATTTTCCAAATTATTATGCGTTAATGAAAGAAATACATTTTCACCCAATTTTGACAAAAGTTTCTCTCTAATCATATTAAAAGGAAAAATTCATTAAGGAAATTGAATGGAATGCCTTTTGAAGGCAGTAAAATAAAACTGTGTTTTGTGAATTTTGTGTTCCTTAAAATTTTAATTGCCTATTGATTAAAATGGAATATGGCACCATGTAAAGCCAAGATGCAGCGGAACGGTAGACAAACGGACCTTTTACTTTATATATTTCTTTGGCTTGATTTAGTTTGACAAGTATCTGAGGGCCAACTACACCTGTGGAGAATCGGTGAGTGCGTTGAAACTTTTGGATCTATCTTATTAGCCTAGAGCTAGAATATGTTATATAAGAAAAATAAGTTCCTTTTCTTTAAATATATATGGTTGAAATGGTTTTGGTCTTTCTTGTTATTTTCTCTATTTCTTGCTGGTTTTTCAATGTTTTTCGTTTGGCTAGATTTTGGCAAATTAACGCTGCATTGTTTCCTGCATTGTTTCCTCATTTGCTCGATCTGGATATTTTTAAGGAGTCACAGTCAATACTCAACAGAAAACCAAGCTTCAGGGGTTTCTCGAATCATGGTTAACTAATATGGTGTGTTGAGGTCGTACTGAATGATATAGATCCTGATGTGTTGGCGGCTGTTGTAAACTACATGTACACTCTCAATAGCCCACAACTTTTGTGGATGGCGTCTCGGATTGCGCGAGCAGCTGATAGGTATTCATCGTAAATCAATGTAGAATAAACGTCTTTAGGTTTATCGTACCCGGATTGAAGTCCCGATGTGAAGCGTTTCTCATCAACGACCTCGCTGCTGACAAGGTTTCCGAACGCCTGAAGACCGCCTATGAGCTTCAAATGAATGTAAGTATCAAAAATATTTT